TACTTTGGTTCAAATGATCCAAACATATAACTGAATGTTTACTTGACTTCCAATTTTTCCTGGTAATAAATTTTATCCATTTTTCTTCTAAATTAGTATCTTAAAAAAAGAGAACAAGATTCGCTTTTTTATTTATTTATAGCCAGTTCGACAATTAACAATTGCACATTTAGTCACCATTATAATCTCCCTAAATTAAAAAAAATAACAGTTAACTAACATGTCAAAATGCAAAAAACTGGCCTTCTAATTTATGCAACATATCCAGCCATGTATTAAGTAGGCCATGACACAACGAAAAAAATTAAAAATACAATTGTTAAAATATGAGCGAAATAGTGAAAAATGCTAAGAATCCCAAAATAGTTTACTATATATAAATAATAAACTCAAATTAAAAATTATATTTCAGCTCTTGAGAATTAAAGTAGAATATTTACTCTCAACTTATCTGAGATCGCTAACGAACTAAACAACTTTTCCAGCATAGTTTTTAGTATTGAAGGTACCAGAATTTACAAAACAATGCAATATTTTATGCTTAAATCCGACATTTGTTATTAAAACAGTTAGTAAGAACTTTGAAACTCTGTTTATAAATCAACTTTTGTAGACACAATACAACCTAGAGTTCAAATGAATGAACAAAAAATGTTGCAAAAGTATTTTGAAACCACTATTTTTTTTTATCATTCTCAAGTGGCATTGTTTCAGGTTTAAAGTTATGTGCAAATATTACCCTTCTGTATAAAAAACGAAATAAACTAAAAAGAACTAATTATAGGCTGGTATCGCTCACATCTATAGTGCGCAAAGTGATGGAAAACCTAATAAGAGACACTAATGAATCACTTTGACTAAGAACAGTTTATGCTCAGACTTTCAACATGTTTTTTTATCATCCAAAAGTTGTTGCACAAATTAATAATAACTCAAGTACTTGATGACAATTTAGCAATAGATTTAGCTTTTCAAGACTTTGCTAAAGCTATTGACTTAGTTGCACATAGGAGATTTTTATTAAAACTACAATAATATGGAATTCAAGAATATTTAATATGTTGGTTTAAAGGTTTTTTAAGTGAACCAGCACAAAGAGTAGTTCTTGGAACAATTGTAGAAACACAATTGTAGAAAGAGCTAATGGAAAACTTGGTCAGAAATCTTTTTTTCAATTAGATGAAAGTTCAATCAAATTATTGTACATGTCACTGGTTCGTCCAAATTTGTTTGTGATGCCTGGATGGAACCCTTAATATCAAAAGGACATTAATTAACTTAAAAAATATCAATGTAGGGCTATTTACAAATAACTAGTGTACAGAGTGTTTGCTATGAAGATTGACTGAAAATATTTAACTTGACTGTTTTAAACACAAGAAGAGCAAGAGGTGATATGGTTCAATATTAGTGATGTTCCCCATTGGACCCGGTAATTTAGTTGTTTTCCTGGGTATCCCAAATCAGCCCTTTTGTTGCAGTACCTGGCACCGAGTATCTTTAACAAAAATTTTAATAAACATTAACCTTTTTTTTAATAAACATTTAACTTTATATTGTGTTGAAGTATTATGAACAGAATTGCTTTTAGTTTAAACTTCAACCATTAAACTTCTTGATATAAGTCTAAGATTGTTACTCTCTTAGATTATCGTTCACTACTGAGCTTTCTATTCTTTACTTCTTCTTATCGTTCACTACTGAGCTTTCTATTCTTTACTTCTTCTTATCGTTCACTACTGAGCTATTCTTTACTTCTTCTTATCGTTCACTACTGAGCTTTTATGGAAACCATATATATAATTGATAGCTAAATTAGCATCTACTATGGTTGCTTCTCTTTATCGTACTCACAATTTTCTTACTCCTGATTCCATTTCTCTACCTCTAAAAATCTTTCATTTGTCCCTGTATAGAATACTGTTCTTCTGATGATACTCTTTCTCTTTTAGGCAAGGTCCAAAAATGCATTGTAAGTGTAGTTGTATCCACTCTATCTGCTAAGCTTGAGTCTCTCTCCCATCGTCGTGAAGATGCATCTCTTTCTCTATTTTACAAATACTATCATGGTTGCTGCTCAAAGGAGTTACCATCTCTAGTTCCATCTACTAAAACTCATTCTCAATTGACTCGTTGTTCAGTAAAGTCTCATTCTTTTATTGTATCTGTCCTTGCATACTCTAAAAAATTCATCTAGTTTTTTTTCCTTGCATTTCATTCCTTTGATACTCTCTCCCATCTTCATGTTTTCCTGACTCATACAACCTACATCTTTTCAAGTCTTCTGACAACCATTTCCTTGCTCTATAACTCAATTCTTTTATTTATCTAGTAACTTCCAAATTAATAGTAGTTGCTTACAGTTGGGAATGAAACTGAATTTAAAAAAAAAAAGGAGTGTTAAAGTGTTAAAATAAGAGTGGAATTGACAACCACTAAGCCCTATTTACTATGTATAGACGTGTCTTAAATATTTTTTACAATATATTTTTGCAAAAGAAATATAATATATTGCAAAAAAGGAAACTGATTTATATGCATGTTTGAATAGCTTCTTTTTATTCTTTGAAAGTTTATTCACAAGAGAATTTTTAGTAATTAAACTTTGAACGAATGAGTTTGATACTTTGAATGAAGAGTTTGATATTTAGAATGAATGAGTTTGATACTTGGATCTATTTGAGTTGCATAATTTGCTTTTAAATACAGTTTTTGCTAAATAATTGTTTACAATAACTAATATACATAATATATTATACAAATAGCTAACATTCCTTTCTTGTTAACAATCCCTCTAGCTATCTTTGCCTGGTATTGTTTAACTGCAAAGTTATTTTGATATTCTTATATTAACCTACTTGGGGCTGCAAGTTATAAAGTTGAAAAATAATCTTTTTGTCAGAACCCATAATTTTTTTCTAATATTAAGCTTATAATTTCATCAGTATTTTCATCTTTTTTTAATGCTTTTTGTTGCATTGCACACATTTTGAAAGAAACTTGACATTCAAAATCTCTAGTTATATTCTTTACCATTATATTGATGTGTGCAACTTTTTGTTTTTCATTTGAGAACTTATGTTTTGATAATTTTGAATGAGGCTTTAGAGTTTTATTTAAATCTTAGTTGATCTTGTTACTTTGAATATACAAAATCCTAATCTTGTTTATCTCTCACTTTGTTCCTCTCTAGATATTCTCATTTGAAAATCTTTTAATTATTAGGTTTTCAGAGTATTTTCTCTAAATTTAAACTACTTCAAATCATGGCTAGTAGCTCTTTTATTGTAACTACATAAAAAACAATGACGTGAAATTATTGAAATTTTAAATATGTAATGATTGAAGTGTTAAAAGCTTCTTGGTAAATAATATAAAATGTATAAAACTTGTATTTGTTATGTTTCAGAAAATATAAATCAAAAAAGTATGTAATTATAAAATTATCAAACTTGCCAGCTACTTAAAAGCAATTTTTTAAGAGTGCACTGAATGAATCACAACAAGCTTTCTGCCATAAAGTTACTTTCAAATATTTTGTAGAACATCTTTTAAATAGTATTGTTAATTTTAATAATTCAATGTTACAGCATTAAGATATAATTTTTTTTCTTTGTTATTTAAAATTTTAATAATATCTTGTTGGCCTTCACATAGTCTGATGAGAGTCAATAGAATCTTACCAAGATAAAATACTTTGTATAAACATTTTATTATCAAGCAGGCATTTTTTTTGAACAAGTAAATAAGAATTCTACTTTCCAACTTCATTTTATAGTAAAAAATAAGTTATTAAAGTACTAATAGTTCTAACTTTTTCAGATGCTTTCTTTTTTATAACGTTTTGCAATAAAATAAATTTTGTTATTGTTAGTTTTATTTAAATAAAAATGAATGTTGTTCTTAACTGAACTTTTTATTAACTACATAATTGCCAAAATTAAAACAAAAACAAATACATCGATAACTTATTTGTTCAGTTTTTATATAAAAACAAAACCATGTGCTTTTTAACTGTCAAGATAATTAGTTGTTACATATAATTATATAAGACATATTAGGTTAACATCTAATTATATAAGACTTTTTTTTTCTTCTTCGAGTCTTTAAACTAAATTTAATGCTTAATTGGAATTTCATTTGCATATTTTTTTCAGTAATCTAAAAAAGTTATATTTCTTTAAAATTATAATTCTTGATATACTGGACCCTAAAGTAAAGTTATCTAAATTTTCATTTGTGCATTTTTTGAATTCTGCATCAAAAAGTATTGTACATGTTTATTATATATATATATATATATATATATATATATATATATATATATATATATATATATATATATATATATATATATATATATATATATATATATATATATATATATATTAATTTTATTAAGTAAGCTAGGCCTATCTTCTTAATTTTACCTATAGGTCACATTAAGAAACCAGCTCAATATTAATATCTTGGGAACCGTTCAACATTTTGTTCTAAAAGATTTTTTGTAACATGCAATAGCCAAAATGCGATCCAAAGGTTTGAAGAACCATAAATTCGAAATTTCTTAAAATTTTTGATTTGATTTGGAATTACTTTATTTACATTTGAATGAGGTTTTTTTTCAAGTTTACTTGAAACTTGATCGTGCTGCAATTTCTGGAAAAGCATGTGTAACTTGACACAAGTTTAAATTAAGTGAATAATAAATAATACATAAATTATGTTTATAATATATAAATTTCTATGGGTAATATTAAACTTAAAGTTCTAAGTAATATTAGTGGGGTGAAAGTTTATAGAGAGTAATTCCACTGGATTAACCGAATTTAAATTTTGTTTTAAAATGTGCGTTGAAAAGTACCCGATTTACCCCATCATAACACATTTTATCACTCTCTTTTTGAAAAATTTAGTTTGACCTTTAAAAATTTAGTTTTTTTTTAGACATTTTTTTCAGACTTTTTGCTTCAATTCTGATCAAATTGTTTTATTTTTAGGAAAAAGGATTTAATGTGGAACATAATATTAAGAAAGTTGTGGGACTTTATAAACAGTGTTGTATCATTTTCTGTGTGCAGTTGGAGAATCGTTTTAAGTAGATATGGTGATGTGTGTCACACAGAGTTAAAAGGTTTGTTTAAATATTTTAAAAACAAAAATAATATACTAGTCACAGGCAGGGTTGGCGACAAATACATATTTGTATTTGGTAGTTAAAAATATCCCTTAAGAATAAATTTTTAAAATTATTTAGTGTTAGAAATAAAACTGAAAAAAAAGTTCTCTTGGTTTTCCCTAAAAAACAACGGTCTACCTAGTTTACGGAATTACAAATACATTTCATTCGAATAATTATAACATTTAAAGTATTTAAGACATTTTTAAGTTAAATTCAGTACAAATACAAATAGGCCAATTTAGCCCATAATTTAGCCCATATTTAGGCTAAATTGGCATATTTGTATACTTATTGATTTCGATTTAAAAAAAAATTTAAATCAACAAGAATACATATGCGCCAATTTTTAAATTAAAAAATTTCTAAATCAGTAAAATTTTGATTTTTATAATTTCAAAATCAATAAAAATACAAATACGTCAACTTAAAAACAACAATACTATATTAGTGTGTAGAAATTAAATTTTACGAAAACTATACATTTGCTTTTTGGGGAAAAACCAAGAGATTTTTTTTTATTATTTCTAACACTAAATTAAGTTAAAAAAGGGATATTTTTTAATAGACTTGTTTCACTATTTGTTATACAATTTTTGTATAAAATTTTTGTTTTAAAAAATATTTCCATTTTTTCTAAACTTAAAATACAAGTATTTGTATTTCAATTTGGAAAATGACAGTTATATATATTTGTATTTGAATTAGTACTTGAAAATCTGAAATAAACTTATTTGTATTTGGTCAAATCTATTTGACCCCAATCCTGGTTTCAAGATAAATGGAATATTATGTTCTTTATTTTTATTTTCAGAGATGAATAACTTGGTACAAAAAGAAATCCATAATCTTATTTCCCGTCCAGCGTCTCCACATACTGATGTTTGTCTTCGATGCTCCACTGATGATAGTAAACGCGGAAAGTGCGTTTTTAGGAGTATATCGTTTTGCACGACTAAGGTTGATCGGTACATAAGACTGATGTTGTTTAAAAAAATACGTAATATTGATTCCGCTTACAGTCGCATATACATAATACCGTCATCAAATGGGCAAAAACAGACTTCAGGAGCAAACATAAATGATTCTTTTTCTACAGATCGAAAAAACAGACTATTCAATGATTACGACGAAAACCACACTTTCATGCCACTTATTTCTTCGCCTGCCGATGCGTCGTTATTTAGTACTTCGCCTCAATCTGAGTTTTCTAAAATGAATACTTTAGGTCTCTCTCCTCCCAATATTATTGCCGGGCATAATTTACCTTTTTTCTCACCGCAAATTTCTAATAGCTATATATCTCCAAATAAACATTCTAATAAATTGTGTAATCAACTTGCTTCAGGATTTTTATTGTCAGGTTCTTCGGACGATAAACAGAAAAGTACGGAACCGAGTGTGCTAAGAGTATGTCCTTTTTTTTTTCTTCTAGAAATCTCTTGCTTTTATTAACGTTTGATTTATTATTTAAATTTATTATCATATAGAGTGATCTTTTGATTCATGAATCATCGTCTGCTATTGATTTAACACACTCATTAGATTCTAAAAACTATTTCGAAGTCTTGAGGTAAATTTATGGTAATTAAATTATTTATATAGATTGAATGATTTTTGTTTTAAATTTTTAGTTAATACTTTAGATTTATTTTGGAACGTTTTGATAACCTTTCTTGGTTGACTATTAATCCTGCTACCGGTAAACGAGAGTCGTCGTTTCCGGTTCATGTAAAAAATGTGGAAAATTGTCGCAAGATATTAGCGTGCTTTACTTGTTAATTTTTTTTTTTTTTTTTTAATTCGTTTAGAAAGTGAATATGATTTTCGATTTATTTATGTAATCGCTGTCTTTCATATCTATCGCGCGCTTTTCCTATCCTGCGTTTTTTTGATGTTCACATTAGATACCAGAACTCGGTTTAATTTTTGTTTTAGTATTTATATTTTAATGTAAAATCAAAAATTATAGTTTACAAAGATGAAGTTGTATATAGATGAATTTCTTTTATGTAGTTTACAAACATCTACGATATAGTTTATAAAACCTCGAATTGAGTATTTTTCCAGAATTGTTTATATCTGCTGCAATTTTACGTATTAATCTATTTAAAATAATATTGAAATTAATATTATTTGTATTACTTCTATTCTTGAATTATTCTTATAAGTGTGATCATAGACGATTTATTCAAACAATATTTAAAATAAAATCCTTAATAAAAAAGAAAAAATTTAAATCTGATGTTTCCTTTTAGTACGAATAACTTTAAATCTGATATGAGAATACTTCAATATTTTTCTCTGTTATAATAATGGTGTGGAATATTTTTGTGGTACTCTAATATTATTTTATTTTAAATTGAACATTTTAGAAACTTATAAAGATAAACTAGAATATTTTTATTTCGTTATTTTTCCAAGATCTTTCTGTTAAAAAATGTTTGACAGTTTTATACTATAATCTACGTCTTTTCTCTCTTTTTGTATTTACAAAAAATTTTTTATCAATAAGTTAAAATGTACTTTTTGTTTTGCAAAAAATAAAACTGTAAAATGTTTTACTTTTTTTAATATCAGCATTTTATTTACTGAAGAGTTTTTAAGATGTTCCATAATGTTATCTATGCCTTTTTTTTGTTGTTTTTATATAGTCTTTTAATAGTTTTTTATGTGTCTTAGTTATATGTCCGTTTGTCATAAAACGTTTATAGCCAGTGCCAGGTTGTTGGAATTAAAAATTATATTTCTACTAAGATAAACAACATGCTGCATGAATATCTATAATCGCCTCTTATAAAAGTATTTTTAAGCAGAGCTTTAGTACAAAAAAAAGGGCATCTTTTGGAAGGGTGTACAATACTGACTTAACTTCTAGCTTATCCCATTTCATTTTCATAACAATTAATGTGCTTAAAGTATTAACTTTTATACAATCTTCATTTCACTTCTTAACCTTAAATGTAATGCTCTCTGGGGACCCTTTTTTCTTCTTTAAACGTTTCCATGAGACGTATGGACATCATAAATGCAATGATTATAGTTAGGTTAAGTTATGCGTTTAGTAAGTGAATCACTTCAGCATATTTATCCGTGTTAGTACTGGTCAAATCATTGCGGCAAGCATGCTCCAGTACCATTTTTCAGTTAGACAGTCCTAAGCAATACATCATAATCTGTATATTCTAGAGACCTAACATATTATATAAAAGATACCATTGCACATTGTATTATGAATGATTTGAGTGTTTCTGATGGCGATAAGAAAAATCGTAACCATAGAAATTTTTAACAAAGCAAAAAAACAATATTCTCTTAAGCTGTTGTTACAGGGCACCTGATGGTGCGTCCTAAAATTTTAGCTTGTATTTACAGTAAAAAATAATTAACAATGGAAACTATGAAAAGAAAAAAAATTATATAATAGGAGATTTAAATATGAATTGTTTATTATACAATTAAGACAAGACAGCAAAAAAAAATTATTATGAAATATTTGTCCAACTAGGGTCATACGAAACTCATCAACTCTTATTGATAATATTGATACAACAGACATTTTCAATTACAGCATTCAATCAGGTATTGTAAAAACTGATTTATCAGACCATTTTCCTATTTTCTTAATATTTGATGCCGGATCAACGCATACTTTGACAAAAAATAAAATTACCAGAAAACGTTATTTTACCAAAAAAATCTCGAATCGTTCAAGTCTCAATTGTCTCTACTACATTGAGGGCATATTGACTTGACAATGTATGAAATAAACTTTCCAGTTTACGGAAAAAGAATAAATACTAAGTCCCTGGATTACAAATACAAAGTCCCTGGATTACAAAAAGACTAAAGAAATCCTCCAGAACAAAACAAAATTTATATATAAAATATCTAAAAACAAAATCTCCTGCAATTAAAAAAATATATAAGAATTATAAAAATATCTTTGAGAAGTCTAGAAAAAATTTGAAAAAAATCTATTCAAATCTTATCAAAAAATTTCAAACCGACTCAAAGCCCACTTGAAATATAAGAAAACAATTAACTGGAAAATCAAATAAATGTTTAAACTCCCTGCCAAACACTACTATTTTTGAAAACAAAATTTTTTCTAAACCTAATGAAAAAAATAATTAACAATGGAAACTATGAAAAGAAAAAAAATTATATAATAGGAGATTTAAATATACTGAAATAGCAAAAAAATTTAATAAATTCTTCACAGAAATCGGAAAAAAACTTTCAAACAGAATTCCTACTACGAATAGCTCATTTATAGAGTTTTTATCCAACTCGACACGATCTAAATACTAACAATGAATTATCAATTGAACTAACTCCCAAGAAGTTTGACAGCTTTTAAATCTCTTAAAAGAAATAAAGCTACTGGCTTCGACAAAATAAATAGTAACATAATTATAGATTGCTACGAAAACCTAAGACATATACTTTTCAAAATTTTTAAATCATCTTTAAAACAAGGGATTTCTGCGGACATATATAGAAAATTGCAAAGGTTTTTCCGATCTACAAAATTTGTGACAAAACAGATGTGTGCAACTACCGTCCTATTTCTATTCTCCCAGCTTTTTTAATAATTTTAAGAAAAAATAATTTATAATAGAACATGTAAATATCTTAATGATAATGAACTGTTAAATAATAAACGATTTGGTTTTAAAAAAATGCAATTCAACGGAACACGTAATTATTCAATTTGTCCGGCAAATCTTTAAGTCTTTTGATAGAAAGCACAACACATTAAGTGTATTTATTGATCTATCAAAAGCATTTGATACCGTCAAATGCTTTTGATAGATGGGGAATGGTTAAATTAACTATGCCAATATTGCTTGGGGAAGCACAAGCAAAAGTAAATTGCAACTTCTTTATCGTCGTCAGAAACACTCTATGCGTTTAATATATTTTAAAAACTGTTTAATGCATTCAAATTTTTTATTTAAAGACGCGAATGTCCTTAATCTATATCAACTCAACATTTATAAAACTTTGTGTTTTTGTTTTAATGTAAAGTTTTGTTTTAATGTAAAGTACATAGTAATATTTATTTTTAATGATTTTTTTATCAACAAAATAAACAAATATATTTTGCAAAATGATAAATTTTTAAATGAACCGTTTTGTCGTACAAAGTTTAGTCAATTTTGTATTGGATATTGTGTACCTTACCTCTGAAACAAAATTGTTTTGAATAATTTTGATTTATCAACTCCATGTACTGGATATATCAAAATTAGGTATAGCAATTTTATTCCTAAGATAAGGTGCTCGAAATGTAATGCTAAATTTGTTAAATTTTTTTCTGAAAATAGGTTCATGTACAAAATTTTTATTTCAAAGTAAATATTTATTAATTGGATTTAAAGAAAAAACGTCTTTAAAGATAGTTAAAGTTAAATCGTTTTTCCACATGTAAATAAAGCATAAAATGTTATAAACATTGAGCTCGTATATATTAAGTATTTTCATCTCCATAAATAATGGTTTAAATGAGTAAAACGATCCGCAAAATTAATTAACCGGATCGCATGCTTCTGACGGCAAAAAAGGCATTTTAGCTTACTTTTTTCGGTGCTTCTCCACGCTATGTTGGCATAATTAATATAGGTGTGAATAAATGAGTAATAGAGTTGGGTTAAGACTTTTTTGTTTAAATAGGATCTAGATTTATATAAGACTCCGTTACTTTTTATTAATTTTATTATTTTTATGCGTTATATTTTATATGCGGTTTCCATGTAATGTTCTCGTCGAGAACCATTCCTAAGATTTAAGATTTTTGAATAGGTAGAAAGGACAGATATAGGGCGATAGTTACTGATATTGCAACAGTCTCCTTTTTTCAAAATTGGAATAACTTTTGCAATTTTTAGACGATCAGGAAAAACTCCTTGATGGACAGATGATTTAAACTTTATAAAGAATATTTTTGAGATAATCAAAACACTCGATAATTATGTCACCATTAATTCCATCAGCTTTATTAGCTTTTTTTTTTTTAGTAATTTGAAGGCGATTTCGAATTCATCAAAAGATAATTCTGAGTATATTTCTTTGGAACTGTTGTAATCATCCTTTGGTACTAAGAAATCATTAAAGGCGACTGGGGTAAAGGGAACTTTATTAGCTAATTAAGGGCCGATTTCGATAAAGTATTTATTAAATTAGTTAGATATAGCTTTTGATTCATAAATACTTTTGTTATCAACTATAATCATTTGGGGTGGGGACTTACTTTATGGAAATACTTTAGGGAAATACTTTAAGTCGTTTGCCGCAACATTTGATTTGCGCGTTTTAAGGTATTTCTTCCCTGTAAAGTTTGAAAATATCAATAATAGGTTTCTGCCCATAATTAAAAACCTCTCTAGTTCCGGTCCATGATAGTTTTAGCTATAAAAACCATTCTCATTCCATGTTCACTCCCTGGCCAACCATTTAAAAGGTCTGGAGTTTAGACAAAAGAAAAAAGAAAAGCTGAAAAAAGACAGTTAACAGAAAGCGCATATATCAATGGGAGACTCAGAAAGGGTAGTTTATTTGAAAGGAAAATAATTGGCATAATAGTTAGTTCTTTTAAACAAGTATTTCGCAAAAATATATTTATTATTTAAAAACTAAGGAGAGAAAGTTAAAACCTCTCCTAAATTATGGGGGCTATAACACTATGCCCTGAAGATTAAGGAGCCTCAGCTTTTTAAGAGGACGCTTTATTTTGTAAGATTTTTTGCCAATTTGATACAAAAAATGTCCACCTGCTCAAGAATATCCTTTGACTCTAAAAGTCTTGGTTTAAACAATTACGGTACTTTTATATGGCCATAATGTTTCAACATTTTCGTAAACATTCAAATGCCATAGAAACAAGAACATACTTATGTTTGGCACTTAAGTATTTTTTATTTACCAAAAGTATATTTATTAACCAAAATCATTGGTTTTTCATAATTATAAAAATCTTACATCTCAAAATTTACGCAAGTAAACATCATTATACTATTGGTTACCATAAAGTCTTTAAATAAGTTTAATATGGTTTTTAACAACACATGAAAAGACCTCATTTTTACGTAACTATTAATAATACTATTAGTTAAAGATGCTGTTGATTAAGTAACTTTAATCGGTTTGGTGATAAAAGAAATTGCCGCTATAAATGTTTGAAGTTTTCTCCATGTCATTACATAAAGTTAAGTTCTCAAATAAAAACAAAATGCTTGCTGCGGGCCTGATTTTAAATATATGATTACAATCTAGTTATTTAAATATTGTGATTTGCACTTTTGTTAACTTTTTTATTTTAAATTTTTTTAAATTTGAAGTTTCCTTAACTAATCAAAGATGTCAAAATGTAGAACTAAAATTTTAGTAAATTAATAGTTTGCTTTACGAGAAGGTCTCTTATTGGTTAGACTTGCTGGAATTTTAGCCACACGTTAGAGTGCCCAAAGATAAATAACCAGAAGTTCAAGAAACACCACACACTCCAGAACCTTTTATTTATGACGACGATGAAAGGCGGTAAAACAAAGAAAAAGTATTTGTTAAAAATATTTAAACTCATGGTTTGGATATTTTCAACAAAGGTAAATTATTTATTTACCTATTTGCAATTTTTTTGGTTGTTTGATACATATGCATATATTAAAGATGTCACGAATAGCGATATCTCTAATATATACATTTTTGCCGAATACAGAATATTCAGCGACACTTAGATTTTGAAAGTTCAGACCTGCTTTGTTGAAGTGCATATTTCAACTATACTGTGGGCGTTTTTATTTCATTTGTGACTAGGTTGTGTCATAGCACACGTTAATTATTGACTGTTACACTAAATTTATTAACTACAGTAATGTGTAAAAGTATCATACTTCTCAAAACATTCAAAAATATTTTCAAAATAAACTAGTTTAGGTATATCTTGCATTTCTAATTATTTGCACGCGGCAGCCTATAATAAGAAATTATAATAAGAAAATGCTTTTAAAAATAGCGAGTGTCTATTTTTGGAAACATGTTTAATTTATAAGAAAAAGTACAATCATCAATCGATAAAAAGGTTTTTATCATAACTTACCACCTGTAGACTTTAATTACAGTTTATTCCTGTTCAGGAATAAACTGTAATTAAATACTAATGTATTATAAAATGTAATTATTTTTCTCTTTTCTCATTTTCTCTTACTTATTAATTTTTTTTATTAACGTATACAGTTTTCGTATTGTAATTTATTCACTTTTTCTCTCTGTTGATAAACTTAAGCAACTCTTAGTTTCTTAAGTTTAAAAAAAAACTTTTAATTTACAGCAGTAAATAAATAATTTACTGCCGTAAATAAATAATTACACAAAAGTGGGTGAAAAATCGTTTTATTTAATTTTCGACTAACATTTTTAGACGAGTTTTTAACATTAAACAAAATGAAAAAAACAAGAAAAACTATAACAAAAAACTTGCTAAATATTTAAAATTACAATTAAAAATGTATTTTAATATACAAATGCACTTTAACAATATATTAATTCAAAAAAATAAATAATTGCCAAATAATAAAGACTTGAACGGTAGACATAAGTTTATATAAATACTAAATTTATTAAACCAGAATCTACTTTTGAGACAGAGGAAATAGCGCAGAGATAAATTAATATTAACAAATATTTTTTTGTTCATAAATTAGAAGTTTCTTCATAAATTAGAATGTTCTCAGATTATTTATGGCGTTTGTTTTTTTCCCCGTTAATTATTTAGAGTTGAACATTTTCTCAAAAATTTCATATTTGTTCGTAAAAAATGTTTACTTAAGGTGTATTTCCAAACCCAACCGTTCCTGTCGTTGCTACAGGTTTATAAGATCTCGGGTATACAATTTTGGATTTCTGTACAGTAGCATCAGTTGTTTGCTGAGCGATTTTACTTCTTTTCTTTGATTTTGTGTTTGCAAGACTCTGTGCGAGAGAAGCAACTTGGCTCGCTGCATTCAAGGTGTCACTTCGGGCAATACCACCTCGTTTACTTATTACAGAACTAACGGTTGAATCACTATCCAGAGTTTTCAGTACCTCTTTAGCACGAGCCAAAATTGAACGAACTGTGCTTGGTTCTGAAACTTCATACTCGTCTTCTGCTTTCGGAACGTTGTCTTTCACCATAATTGTATTTAAAGAAGAAGATTTGTCTTCCTTGTAAGAAGTTTTCTCAGAGGAAGGCATCTCTTCTTTTCGAACGGCTGAACTTGTATGTGACGAGAATGGTTCTGCTTTACGTAAGCTTCTAGTGAACGCTGGTCCATTTAGAATACTCTTTGCGATTTCGTCATAATCTTCAGTTGCAACAAACGGAGAGCTTGATTTTTTTTCTAACATGCTTCGAGCTTTTTGCTTAGGAGCATTTGCTTGAACTGGAGCAGAAACACCCTTGTTTCTAGCCACAAATTTATTTTCATTTCTCTTTTCATCTTCTGTAGTAAAAGTTTTACTTACTGAATCTTTTGCATCTGTCTTGATCTCGGGTACTTTGATTTCGTTGAGATGTTTTTCTAATAACCCCATTAGCTCTTTTGAAGACGTATCTAGGGTGAAAATGAATGTAGTTAAAACTGCTAATTAAAACCAAAGTAGACTAAGGCCAACCTAAACTAAATAAAACATTAAAAGAAGATCACTACAAAATACTTTATGTAAATCTTTATTGGCAGTTAAAAGTTAAAATACGAAATAAAAATCATATAGCTTATTTATAAATTCTGTCGTTTAACCTCATAAAAGCTAAGAAATAAAGATTATTTACATAGCAATTGGGTCACCATTTTGCCAATGATCTCTTTATCTCCTTGAATGACTTTTAACTATTATTAAACATAAAACCATTTATTATGTCATAATTTATGATTTTTAGATAATTCTTTTATAAATATCTAATTTATGATTTTTAGATAACTCTTTTATAAATATCTAAAAAAATTAGTTTTTACCAATGATTTTTTTAATTAAAGTAAATAACTATTGTAATTTGTAAATTAAGTTAAACTGGGAGATCTTTTAGGCACAGGCTGACAAATATTCATTCATTAAAAGCTGATTAATTGACCAACCCATTAATCTCAAATAAATTTTTGGGACACAAGATACATGTCCTTCATGTCAAAGGAAAAGCCATACAAAGCATAACAAACTATCTTAACTCAAATATAATAAGCGCACAAACAACAGTAATTTTTCAAATGCATTTTTCTTTTTACTCAATTGATTTAATTTTTAAAATTATATGGACAAAAATAAACAGTTAAAGACTTTACCTATGTCTGCAAGGCAGTTATTTTGGCTGACAATGATTCTAACTTGCACCCCCTCCCAACCCAATACATTAAAAATGATACAAACTGTATTAAGATACAAATCTTAGCATAATTAACTATTATGATGTTTCATGTATAGGTTGAAAAAGATTTGACAATATCAAATGCTGAGACAATGCCAGCTCCATAGCAATACTAAATGTCATCATAAAAATGATTTATCATAAAGGAGGTGTCAAGAAGGAATTTATAAAAGAGATGCCAAAATTTGTTGCCAAAATAAAATTTGCAGAAGAAATTGATATAAAGTTTAAAAAAATTATTTAGTACCTTCAAGCAGTTTTGACTCCTCCTCCTGTTGCATATTTTCAGAGACTTCTAAAGCACAAAAACACATACAACATATATATATATATATATATATATATATATATATATATATATATATATATATATATATATATATATATATATATATATATATATATATATATATATATATATATATATATATACACACACAAGAATATATATTATAACTTACTTTTTAATTTTGGGTTGCAAACATAATTAACTAACAAATATTTTGAAATTCCAGTGCATGATGGATGTTTTCCATCTTCCAAAGTAGCAGAATCAGCTTTTATCAGACATCTTTTTTTTCCATTACACTTGTTTTTGAGATATTTTGCAGCATACTCACTTGAATCACATTCAATACTATCAGCAGTGGCTCCACAGTAAGTATGTGAAGATCTAACATAATAAAAACACTTAAAGTTAAAAAATAACAAAATAATTATATAAAATTTTTTTTACATTTGAACTCAAATCTAAAAAAAAAACCTTCTTCCCCAAAACACATCTGCTAGCTCCATTAGCCACCCTGCAGGACAGTTAAGAACAGTTTCTGCAGATTCGCATAGATTTACTCCTTTTGAGTCTGGTACGCAAGTGTAGTTTGCAATTAAATATTTATTGACACCTGGACAATGACTGGATCCATTTCTTTGTAGTTCGCTATTTGTATATAAAAGTTTTTTTTAAAGATTTGTTAATAAAAGATTTAATATATTTAAACTTTATTCTTAATTTCATTAATTTTCATGTTTCTTCTATTTAATATGGAAAATTTTATGAAACATGTTTATTAAAAATTATATTTAAGTTTATTAGAATTCATCATGAATCTTATAGGAGCTAAAAATGTTGATTTGACTTCTTTCAAAGATAAAAATAAATCTTTCTTTTTTGATTTTTTTTTTTTACTTTTTTGTAATAAAAAACTATAGGGTAAAAAAAAAGATTTTTAATTCACTGAATTGAACAATTAATAGCAGTAATTCTTTATTTAACTATATTTTAATTACCAAAGTTATTTAGTTTGTTCCTTAGTGAAAGTGATAATCAGAATTAAAATTAAAAAAAATACAAATAACATTAAACTATAAAACATCTGAAGATTTTACCTGTGCTTTGCTTCAAGTTTGCATTCGCGTCTCCCTTCACAGCTTTTTTGAATAATTGGGAGTGTTTCCGCTGATCCTTCACAATCAGTTACTGGATCACCATCATCAGAAGGACATATTTTATCAGATGTTCGCCCCCAAAATGCACTTGTTACAGCAATGCTTGCTCCATCTCTGCAGTTTATGTACTTTTTAAGACCAGTACAGATGGTGATGTCACCCTCTAATTAAATCAATTACAATTTCATATAAACATTGGTATTACGTTGTAATTTTATGAATATATTCATAAAATTACAATTTATGAATATATTCATAAAATTACAATTTATGAATATATTCATAAAATTACATGAGGAATCATTTCATAATCTTAACAAATAAGATACATAACTACAAAGAAATGATAAAAAAAGATTCAAAAGTGAATTTCTCAACCCAAACTCTCAAGAGATTTACACTTTTTTTTTTTTAATGGCTACTTTTTTAATGTTTTTAAATAGCAAACAGTTTATAAATTTTATTGTTTATACTTTAGTATATTTAAAAGGAGTCTTTTAACCACTTAAAACTACAACCTACTACAACACTAACCTATAACAAATTTTCATTAATAAACACTTCCATTGAGAAGTGAAACTCTTTGCAAAATCGACTGTCCCCTATTCCATTCTATGCTTTAAATAAAAAGGCACTTACAACAAAACTTTTTTTTTCTATATTCTATCTTGTTGATTATAATATGCTATGATATTTACAGATACATTTTATTATTTTGTCTTTTGGAATCCTATGGATACAAATGATGTATGTGTTTATAAGGATAAAATGCCCAAGAAAAAGATTTTTAGAATAAAAAAAATTACAATATCTGGAAAAGTATTAATAATATGCCCAATGCTAAACTAACACTAACATAATATGCCCAATGCTAATACAACAACTTAAATGAATTGTTAATATGTGGAAAGTATATAATAAAAGTACAATACCAACAGCATGTATGTTATAAATCACTCTGACCTGATTATCGCTATAATTAGGTTAAAAACCAACAAAGCTTGAGAACCTGATGTTATATAACATCAGGCAATAATTATAGCTGCAATAATTATAGCAGTTGAAGCTATTAAATATATAAAAAAACTATTGTCTGAGCATTTATCATTGTCATTTAACACTTCTGTGGCCCTAACCTTTTTGCTTTTGGATACGATTCAGCAAATGATGAATATCAGTTCGGTTTCAAACCTAGACATACAAGTAGTCTTGAGTTTTCAGTTCTTAAACTACTAGTTTACTATTGCAGATCAAATGGAATTTATGTTTTTGCTTGCTTCCTTGACTTGAGCAAAGCTTTTGACAGTGTTGATCATAAAACAAAAAACTAACCACATTAAATTTCCCAACTAACTTAAGTTGTTAATTTTTTGAAAATGTCAGTAAAAAAATCAACAACAAACAACATTAAGTTCAGTGTAGATTTTGAGCATGTTATTGATAATACTCTTACCGGGTGCGGTCTACTCAATGTAGTTAAGGCGATTTACAAACTATTCGAATTCTTTTATTTGGAATTAGCATGGTTTTGTCAGCATACATTTATGTCCAAACAAGATCTTTAAATGTTATAATTTTTTTTTTAGGTTTTTATAATATTTAAAGAAACTTTTCTTTTTTTATATAACTTTCAAAACCTTTTTACTACTCGTAATAATGTATCTAAAGAACACCATTTTAGAGTCTTTAGATTGATTTCACTCCTCAGCATTGCAAATTATTTGCCCACACACCGTAAGCAGTATCATTAGCTGTAGGCAGTACCATTTTAACTGTCGGTAGTAATTTGAGGTAGAAAATCAGTTACCATAGATCTTTATGAAAACATAATCGTTGAAAGTGCATGAGGCAAGAAACAAAAATTGTGTTGAACAGTACATTTCTTCATTCAAATTCTTCTAGTTTACTTAATGTTAAAGAGCTGCATAGCTTAAATAGGTTTGAAAGAGTTACAACGTGAAACGTCTTCCAAAGAGGAATAAGTTATTAAATTGTATTAAAGAAATGCTGGCACATTCTGATAATAATAACTAGAATAATAATTCTCTTTTGATTATGGTAATGTAGTAACATTAGTTTAAAACAAGAAGAAATGTAAACCATTTTTTAGGTTACATTGAAAATAAATAGCTTAAATGGGAACCTTACATAAAAAATTGATACTGAAACAACAAGGTTACTAAAGAAACAAATCCATAATGTAATTTTTACTTCTTTAAGTATAGTTAACAAATATTTTTAAAGGCAAATCTGAATGATTTAAATTTCTTTTAGTATTACAAAGTTTATTTTAATCATAATATATAATCTATATATATATATATATATATATATATATATATATATATATATATATATATATATATATATATATATATATATATATAAAATATATATATATATATATATATATATATTTATACATATATATATATATATATATATATATATATATATATATATATATATATATATATATATATATATATATATATATACATATACATATATATATATATCGGTAGTGGTGTAGTGGTAGAGCTTCATAAACGAGTGGTTCCGAGTTCGATCCCCACCACGTCCCTGGTAGTACCGCGCTCAACTCGTTTCTCAGCGCCTTGCTCTCCAAGGTTTCTTGGCCTTGCTCGCCAAGGTTTGTGTTTCGGAGTTATAGAGTTGAGAGAGGGTTATAACCACAAATAAGTAGCCTCCTTGTCTGTAGTGGCCTTCTCGGCCTTGAGGAGGTGAATTAAAATTAAAAAAAAAAATATATATATATATATATATATAATTTTTATTTATATACTTATTTACAGTGTTGGATTAAGGAGATAGGGGTGGGGGTGGGGGGGTGGGGGAGTAGAAGGACTATAGCCTCAGGATTCACAATGTTAGGGGCCGCGAAATAGTCAAGAGGACCATTCCATATTTTTTTCAGTCATTTTTACGCTGTGGCACATAAAAATGGCTGCCAAAATAATGCAGTCCCCAGCCCTGAAAAGTCCAACAAAATTCAACTAATAAAACTAACGCTAAGTGATTTATTTATTAATAAAAAAGTTTTTTGAATAACTGTTTTATTCTTCGCGTAGTTTAAAAAGTTTAATACATTTAAAACAATTTTTCTTAGTAAGATGAACAAATAAAATAATTAAATCATTGAGTTACTGTAGAAATTCAATTAGCTAAATAGAAATTAACCAAAAACGTTAAATTACTATGTGCGGAGGAAGCTGAACTGCTTCATAATAACGCTGATGATGTTTAGTGAGTGGGCTTTATAATTTTAATTAGTATTTAAAACAGAAAAAAGTAACTTTAAGTTTAAGTATAACAAGTTTGTAAGAATGGCTGAAGCAAAAATAATTGAAGTTAGTAAACCAATTTCTAAGAACTTAAAAACTTTTCTTTCTTGGGGGAAAGAATCAGTTATCAGGTACACTGAGAAAAATGGATTAGTGGTTAAAATTATTTGTATTAACTTTGATGATTATTAATTATTTATTATTAGAAATTTCGGTTAGTATTTTTTGAACCAATAGAATTAGTTGTTCGTAGATTTGGCGGGTTTTTTGTATTTTTTTTACTTTTCCCCACAAAGATTGTTTGAGAAAATTTGAGTTTATGTTTGTTTCCATGTATGTCCGTAAACAAAATATTTTAAAAGTTATGTTAAAATAATGAACTTAATTAAGGAAACATACATAAATTTAAATGTTCTCAAAACAACTAAACTATCTGGCCGGTTTTTCGCAACTAAATATTATTTCCGTGGTCAGTTATCGAGTGCAATCGCACCCGCTTTCCGACCAAGCCTGATCTAAATCAATATAGGTTATTTAGAAGAAGAAAATGAAGAATAATGAATAAAACGGTTGCTGCCCTATCCCAAAACCCTTAGGCTATGTAGCAGCACTCCACTGCGAATCAGGCTATGTGTTAGATGATGTATGTATTGAAGCCTCTGGCAGCAGGCTATTTCAGTATGACTTCATCATGCTCACCTAACTCAGCAGTATAAGATATATATAAGATATATATATGAATATATATAAGATATATATATGAATATATATATATATATATAATATATATATATATATAAGATATATATTATATATATATATATATCTTATATAATATAAGATATATACATATATATATATATATATATATATATATATATATATATATATATATATATATATATATATATATATATATATATATATATATGTATAAATATATATTTATATATATATATATATATATATATATATATATATATATATATAAATATATATATATATATATATATATATATATATATATATATATATATATATATATATATATATATATATATATATATATATATATATATATATTAGATTAGATGTTCAAGACCGTGTATGTAAGAGAAATGGCATTATGAGCAATGTCCAACCCATGTAAGCACAGAAACAAGGAAACTAAAATGATGATGATATATATAATATATATCATCATCATCATCATCATCATCATCATCATCATCATCATCATCATCATCATCATCATCATCATCATCATCATCATCATCATAATAATAATAATCATCATCATCATCATTATTTTAGTGCCCTTGTTTCTGTGCTTGCATGGGTTGATCAGGGTGTATCAGGATATAGTCAGCAGTTTAAGTAAAACTTAAATGAAATATATATATTTTTTTAAGTCATTTTTAGGCTATATATAATATATAGCCTAAAAATGACTTAATCTTTTCTTTATAAAACTTACCAAACCTAAATATCAAATTAAATGGGCAATCAGTATTTTTAAATCTTTGACATGGATTTTTTTAAATTATTTCATTTGCATTCATTGTAGCCTGATATGGTGACACCTATAGTAAACACATTTTTCAAATTCCCCTTTCTTTGGATGCTTTGGTGTTAATTTTCGCAGGGTTTCATTTGTATGGTAACAATAGGTTTGAATAAATCCATCTTTTTGTTCAACAGACAGGTTACTTTCTATGAGGGCTTTAAACTTCTTTGATTATTTATTTTATTTCTTTGACTCTGCTTTTTAACTCTTCTGTATTTTCAACATTATAAAAACGAGTGCGGAAAGATGCAAGCATTGATGTAATTACTATGAAAATTTTTGAAGTATATA